TGGTCTGTCAATAAGCATTCAGTCCCCAAAGTGGGCTCAGAGTTGACAAAAACCAGACAGCTGACTAACGCAGACTCACTTCCCATTACCCCCTGCTTAGACCCTATCTCACATATCTCTTCAAAGCCCTGCAGCCTGGGAGCTTCACACCCTGGCAAGGGCTTCTTTTGTCCTGCTCAAGTTAAAAGCTCCAGAAAAGTTTCAAGAAAGGGAAAGAGGAAAATAATTGAGTATTGTATTTGGACTTGCCTAGTTCAGGCCTTCAGGGCTTACATACATACAGAGATGTGTGACTTCTTTACCGCTAGTCTCCTGGACTGGTAATTTTAGAAGGGTGCCCGGCAACCTGCAAAATAGACCCTTGAATCCCCAAGAAAACCCTGATCCCGTTGTTCACTGAGGAAGACTGGGGAGTTGAGAAGATTAAGTTTGAAACAGTTGGCTGGAGGCCTTAGCAAACAATAGAGTTTGTCTAAGAAACTTCTCCTTAAAGAGGAGCCATGCTCCAGTGATATATTTGAACCCCAAACCAGGAAACCCAGTTAACAGTTGTGTTCAACTCGACTTCCTTGCTGGTGGGAAGAAAATGTAATATTCTTGTCAGAGTTGCTCTTCCTTTGAAGCATTCAAGAAGCAGAATACATTTATCCAGGTAAAGGAAACATTTTTTAAGGTAGTATTTAAATGTATTAATTTATTATTTACAAGTAAGTCTTGGCAGCCTACTTGTGCCATCCAATTTGTTCTACCTTCTTCTATCTATCTTCCTGGCTATCTATAGACCAGTAGGGTGAGGATCACAGTGTGACAAGAGCCACACACATACATGCAAGGGTCAGAGAAGGATTCCCAGAGGTATTACCAATGGAGCTGAGAGTTGAAGACATTTAGAAATTAACAGACAAAATGTTAAGGACACTCTCAGGAAGAAGGTCCTGCATCGGGGAGGGTCCTCAGCCTGGAGAAAGGGTAGAATGCAATGGTCGAACCAAAGGGAAGCAAGGAGAAAGCTGTTCAGACTTGCTCAAGGATTTGGGAATTTATCCCTAATAATAATAATAGGATAGCTCATGCCTATAATCCTAGCTACTCAGGGGCTGAGATCTAAGGATCGTGGTTCCAAGCCAGCCCAGGCAGGAAAGTGCGTGAGACTCTTATCTCCAATAAACCACCAGAAAACCAGAAAGTGGCGCTGTGGCTCAAGTGGTAGGGTGCTAGCCTTGAGCTAAAGAGCTGAGGGACAACACCTAGGCCCAGAGTTCAAGCTCCATGACCAACAAAAATAATAATAATGATAAAAATAATAGGAAGCTCCCACACACAGTACTTCAAGTGGTGAAAGGTCATACATACTCAGAATTTTAATTTAAAAGATTTAAAAAAATGGACAAGGAGCCGGGCGCTGGTGGCTCACGCCTGTAATCCTAGCTACTCAGGAGGCTGAGATCTGAGGATCGCGGTTCAAAGCCAGCCCGGGCAGGAGAGACTGTGAGACTCCTATCTCCAATAAACTACCAGAAAACCGGAAGTGGCGCTGTAGCTCAAGTGGTAGAGCGCTCGCCTTGAGCTGAAGAGCTGAGGGACAGCGCCCAGGCCCAGAGTTCAAGCCCCACGACCGACAAAAAAAAAAAATGGACAAGGGTAAGAACAGGTCATATGAGTGACAGAGAATGGTACCTTAGTCTGGGATGGTACCTTAGTCTGGGATATGGCTAAAGCGTGTAGTCAAAGGGCAAGATTTGACAGTTCTTTTAGAGATAGAATCATTCATTCACTTAACCATTTCCTAGAGTCCTGTGATATGCCAGGCACTGTACTAAATGCTAGACATGTGGTGGTAATAGGAAATACATAATTCCTGCCTAGCAGCACTAATAGTATTGGAGAACAGGCAGCCACTCAGCAAAGCATTTAAATTGCACTTGGAATAAATGCTAAGAAGAATGGAGAACTAAAAGCATAATCCAGAGGACTAGAGGTGGGGCTGGATAACTGGACAGATGTCAGAAAGAAATAAAAGATGAATAACCTGATAGTTGGCTGGGCAGATGGTGGCACTATATTTGGGAGGGAAATCAGATTCTAGACAGGATGAGGTTAATAGGATGACGGGTTTTGATTTAGACATGAAACAATAGGCCAAAGATACAGAAAGAAGAAATAGCATGAGATTCCCTTTGGCATCTCACCCAAGGGAAGGGGTGAACCAACCAGAAGGACCAAAGGAGAATCCAGTGGTAGACCATTTTGAGCACAAGATCATTTCTTGTTCTGCATTTGTAATACCAGCCCTGGACTTGATATATCTTAAAAAGTATGAATATCTTGTTTGAAAAGAATTGGATGGGCTGGAAATGTGACTTAGTGTTAGAGTGCTTGCCTAGCATGCATAAAGCCCTGGGTTCCATTCCTCAGTACCATATAAACAAAAGGCCGGAAGTGGCGCTGTTGCTCAAGTGGTGGAGCGCTAGCCTTGAACACAGAGAAGCTCAGAGACAGAGCCCAGGCCCCGAGTTCAAACCCCAGGACCAGAAAAAAATAAGAATTGGAACTTGTAAAATCAACAGACTGTCACCAGAGTACCAGTAAATAATGTAGGTGCTGCATTTATACACACACACACACACACACACACACACACACCACACACACATACTCACAAAAGACAAAGACTAGGTATTAAGTCTCATTTCCTATGGGCAGCCCTTCTATTGGGCTATCACCAATACCCTCTGTGCTATTTGAATTAACATAACAGATTTCATTCCCTCATTAGTCTCTGATTCCTGAAGCCAAAATGCCATAGATAAATTAATAATCCACTTGTCTGGGTCTTCAAATTTATACACAAATTTAGAGTGCGATGGGCAGGGATGGCAGGTCTATGAATCCAAAGGTCACTGTGGAAACCTTGTCCTTTCTTGCTTTGAACACAGACAAGACATAGGAAAGCCTGTTGTCTCACTATTGTACACTCAGCAGGGCTGGTGGTCATCCCTAGTTAGAAAACAGGTTATGTAAACCCTGAGACAGTCCTCAAAGACTGAGCACGCCTAGTTGTCATACAGATGGGCACCTAATAGCCTTTGTAAGCTAGGAAATTGTGACTTCCATACCCTTCTCAGGACCATCATACATATTAAAGCAGGTAACAGCTACCCCAGACCCACACACAGGCCTTGTCACCTCCTAAATGTTCCAAGGGAAAAGAGCTGTTCAGACTCTTCCTCAGAAAAGTGTTTCAGCCTCTGGCCAGATGAGGGAGGGGAATGAGCCTCTCTGGGCTGCTCAAGTCGCCAGACTGAGAATAAAGAGCGTTTACAGAGTCTGGAGTTTTCCAGCTGCCTGGAAACAGGAAGTGCCCAGTCCAGGAGAACAGTAACCTTCACACACGCCCTACATAAAGACATGTTGAGCCATTAGCCCTAATTGCCTGTGACTGACACAGGACTGAGGCCGGCCTTCCAGGCATTTGCTCAGTGGAAAGAAAACAAACAGCTCACTGGGGACACAGGCAGCCATTTTCTCTGTTTTCTGCCAAAATGGTTCTGCTCTCTTCCCCCCAAATTATAGCATACAGATTTGAAATTACACACCGAAGGTCTTTTGAGTATTCTGCACCACACATAAAAGAGAAAAGCAATCTCTGAAGGGAGTAGTTAGACATATGCAATTGGTTAATAATCTTTTCACAAAATCAAAAACTTGACTACCCCTCTATCCCCCCAAAAACTAAACTTTAAGAGCTGCCTTTCAACATTTTCAATTGTCTCAGGGTCAAAGCATTAAGTATTTGAAATACTTTTTATTTGATCAACATACTTTATTAAGAGACTGGAGTTAATAGTGTACCCAAGTATACATGGCCAAAAATCACATATGCCTTCAGGTTTAGGATTTTTAATGGCTAGCTTTCAGAAATGGCTTTAAGAACAATAAAGCACATTGTATGTCAAGCAAGAGTTTTTAGATTCTTCCTTTCTCTCCTTCATGAACTATACAGAAAGGCTCAGAGGACATCCACAATCACCAAACCAACTTCAGCTAGATTATCAGGGCCTGTTACACTCTGGGCATCAGTTTCTTCCCTACCATCTTGATAACCAAGGTAAAACTGGACTGGTCCTGACCATGATCAGTAGTTGCTAAGAGTTCGTTTCCCAGTTTCAGTGAATGAGGAACCTACTACAGCCCCAGATCCTGAAGAACCTTCTGTTGTTCTCTTCCTTTATGGAAGAGAATGCTTGTCTCTTTCACAATCACTTTGTTCAGCAAGTGCTTCACATACACCACCTTCTTGGAAGTTTCTAAGCTTCCTAGAAAGATGTGTAAGCTCATTATCTCTACCTTACCAAAATGGCAGATGCTGCCCAGGATCACACAGGAGGGATGAAAGGGCAGATTCAACCCCAGGTCTATTTGATTTACAAGTCCTGGTTCTTCATCTCTGCCCTCTATACATTCAAACTTGAACTTCCCTTTGGCTCACTGGGATCATCTTCTCATTAAAGGTCTAACCACTAGCTTTAATTCCAAACTAAAAGGATGGGGGAAAAATGAACACTAGGAGCTATGGTATCATCAACTCCAGCTATAGAAATAGCACACAGTAATATTAATTAACCACCAACAATCCAAGGCCCCATAGGTGAAGATAAAATTCCAGAGAGAAAACTCTTTCTACATGGGATCAAGGGAAACACCCTCCCAAGATCCAAAAAGGCAAAATGAGTTCCTTGTTCCACAGAAGCCACTCTGAATCAAGCTGTTCAAGTCTCGGCATAAGGTAGCATTGATTCTGTCCAGATGATTTAGATTCCTTTTCAGATTTATGTAGAACAAGCAGTTCTTCCACACCTCCCTCCCCTTCTATACATGGAGGTCTCCCTAGAGACTACCGGCTACTAGTAGGTAATAAATAACCACGCTGTTTCTGACATGGTGAAGGAGGCTCAGTCTTTGAGGAGGAAAGCACTGCGGTGGGACCACAGGCTACTCACCCAGCAGGCAGGGCATCCGGGGCCTGGGCAGCAGGCAGCTGCTGTGTCCCTGAAGTACTGGGCTCTTCTCCCCCAGCCGGTGTGGCAGGAGCAGGGAGAGATGTTGTGTTGGGGGTTGGGGTCGCACTCAAGGCTGTGACAGGCGGGGACGTGACACCAACAACAGAAGGTTCTTCAGGATCCGGGGCTGTAGTAGGTTCCTCATTCACTGAAAATGCACAAACCATACTTTAAAGATCGTCTTAGGAATAAGAATGTGTGCTTACTTTGACTAAGCTTTCTACTAAATGGGCATCTGCAGTTTCCACTAAATGTAGCACCTGCAGTTGCTGGGTGACCACAAGAAGTTTTATAAAATGTTTTAGAGTTATAGTAATCAGGAACCTGAAATAAATATATCAAATACTATCTCTCCATATAACTTTACTAGCCTTTTCTAATATATTGTGGTTATACTGACTATAATAAAAGAAGGCACCAATAGCTTATATCTATAATCCTGGCTACTCAGGAGGCTAAGACCTGGAGGACAAAAGTTTGAAGTCAACCCAGGAGGAAAAGTCTGAGATTCCATCTCCAATTAACCAGCAAGAGCTAGGCTGAAGATGTGTCTCAAGGGGAAGAACATCACCTATGAGCAAGAAAGCCAAGCAGGAGCACAAGGCCTTTGGCTCTAAGCTCTCATACTGGGAGAAGGAGGGGAAAGAAGAAAAGATGAAGATAAAAGGGAACCACATTGGTAAATGAACCCAAATTCACAGGGTCACATTCTTGTTTTTTGTACAGTTGTCATTTGTCTGCTAGACAAACACACATTCTTTAAAAAAAAAAAAAACTCCACACATGAAAAGGCAAAAAACAAACAAACAAACAAACAATACTTCCAGTAATGTGCTTACTTTTCTTTAAGATCTATGCTTAAAGACAGAATCTAGGATTAACATTCTAAATAAAAGGGGTATCAAATGCTAAAGACAAAGAAGTAAGCTACTTCCTGTGTTTCCTTATTTTGCTATTTTCTCCATAGCTCTGACTATTGTGTATGTCCACAAGGACCCCAGAGCATTGCAACATCCTTACCTTTAAAAAAAATTATCAAATGATGTTTTAAAAAAATTGGCATTTTAGAAAAATGGATGAGTCATATGCAGAGAAATTTTTACATGTGCTTGCATAAGTGTACATTTCTATTAAACTTGCATTAGAAAACATCCTAATCATTATTTAGCCTCACCTCTCCAACTCAGAAACTTGTTTTATAGTTTCAAATGGCTATCTAGATTTTTCCTGGAACATTTCTTCTGACAGGAGCCCACTATGGAACCTAAGCAGGGTTGAGCAGATACATCTGCAAAAAACTTTCTTCTTTTCTTAATCAGAATTCCATTAGCTAGTCTGAGTCTTGAACCTCAAACACAATTCAGAGTAAGCATCTGGTATATTTCATGCTTTGCATTAGTCTTCTCTAATAAGAAATCTATTTCTTCAGTGGTTATCATTTGGCAGCCCTCTTGCAGCTGTCTTCTGTCACTCCCCTAAATAATATGAGGAACTGAACATAATAAATTAGATGCCACCAGACCAGCAGAGTCAGATTGCTAACCTAAATGATTAGTTAATATTTACAGAGCATGGGTCTATGTGCTAAGCCAAGGTGCAAAACACTTTTAAGTTGTTTCCTTTAAACCTCATACACAATCCCACAATTTAGGTACCATTGATGGCTCACACTTTACACTGGAAAAACTATCAGAGGCTAAGTAACCTGCCAGGGGCATGTTGCATCTAATTTGCGTGCACCAAGATGGAAAGTACCCATTCTTCACTCATTCATTCAGATTCTCTGCACACTGTTTATTGTGATCCAAGATTTTGATAATTCTGATCAACCACTGGATACAAACTGGCTTAACATGAGAGTGTTGGTGAACTGAAACTACAAGCCTTCACAGGATGTGATAGCAAGTTTAATCTTCACAAGTAGGGAAAAAAAAAGGATGCAAGGGATGCCTCTGGTTGATTCATTCAACTTTTCCCCAGTATAGAAACTATCTGGCACATGTGTAAAATTACTTGCTTAAAAAATGCCTAAATCTTATGCAGTTCATGTTTCCCATAACATAAATGCAAGACTTTATATTTGTATTCCTTAGTCTATCACAGTCAAGCTAGTAACACATAACAGATGGCAATTCCTTTTGTGTTAATCTATAAATTCAACTCAGTTCCATTTTTTTAATCCTATCATTGCATTCTCCAGAGCTAGGTACGTTCATTCTAAAATTTATAAGGAGAACTAAGTCCAGAGTACTCATTCCTTGTGAAGAATCACAGCACTTGTGATTTCAGCTTTACAGCCCACAGCCCCAGGGACATCCATTGGTACTTAGCTCAAATGTGGCTTCACCTCTTTTTCTTAAAATTATGAAGGACTAGTCTTATACTTTATTACATTGTCTACAACGTTTGGCAAAATGTCTTTGATAAAACACCTCGTCAATAAATACTCATTCAATAAACCTAATCTAGGGGGAAAAAAAGACATTTGAAGCCAGGCACAGTGACTCACACCTGTAATTCTAACTACTTTGGGAGGATAATAGTTGGTGGCCAGTACAGATTGCCTAGCTCAACAAAAAAAAAAAAAAAGTCGGACATGGTGGTGAACATATATCAGCTACAGTGAGAAGCATAAATAGGAGGATCATGGTTCAGGCTGGCTTGGGAAAAAAAAAATTAGACTCTTTCTCAAAAAATACCAGTGCAAAAAGGGCTGGGAATATGCTTCAAATGGTAGAACAGAAGGCCCCAAGTTTAAACCCCAGACCACCAAAAAATAAGGATGTGGGGGGAAGATATTTGAAATAAAATCATGTGAATTTATTTCCAAATACTATTGAATATTCTTTTATATTTTTTAGAATAAATTTTGGTATAGAAAAGTCGGATAGTGTACTTTCACCCAATATTATAATTTTATATAACCATGGCTCATCTGTTAAAATTAAAATATTAATTAGCATAGTACTATTCACTAAATTCAACATTATGTGGATTTTACTAATTTCCCACTAAGGTTCATTTTCTAAGGAAAATGAAACAATGAGGTGGCACTTAGTACTGACAGCACTCAGGATCCTTCACTGCCTTCAGTAGATATAACATACTTTTATTACATCCTTCGTCCTCCCAAGAGCCTGAGGAAGATATTATTTCCATTTCCCCCAAAACAGCACTGAAGTTTACTGAAGGGCAACTTGGAGAAATACCCCATATTCAGCAAGCAACAGAACAATGCTCAAACCCAGAACACCCTGAGGTGGAACAATGGAGAAAGAAAGAAATGAAGGTGGCTCAGGTGGTTTTCCTGGATAGGAAGAAATGCAGGGCACCAAGTGTGGATGGGGTAAGTAGGCAAAATGGCAGTTGAACAGTTTCTGGTTTCTGTAACTATGGATATTTCACAAGATTCCCTCTGAGATGGTGGTTAAATACTCGTCTTTATGAATCACATATTCATTTAAGACTAGGACACACTCTAGCTATATTTAGCCAACAAAAAGATCAGCAATTGGAAATTCTCTTTCTTAATCCTAGACACACTGCCAGCTCACTCTGCATTCCCAGACATCCAGGCGGGAGGGCATAGGCTCCTGGTGTGCACACATCTTTTTAGTCCATACCTCAGACACATGGAGGGTGATCAGCTACAACAGAGGCATTTTCCATGAAAGATAAGCTCCTAATGTGATCCACAGTAAAGCAGCCAGAATTGTTCCCCTGTGACATGCAAGCATCTGCACTTCCAATGCAGTTGCTCAGTCACAAATACACAAAAGCTACCAAAATAGAAAAAAAAAAAAATGTTTCATGAAAGCAGGGAGATTACATGGAAAAAAGAGGCACAGAAAATTACAAACTTATACCCTGGTAACTGACTGATAGAATGATTAAATTCCACTTCCAGAAAATATAGAGATTAATATAATTCTCATACTACAACATGCTTGTAAGACTTTGAAGCCTAGAATTTGTTTTGAAAGATCTATGCACTACTAAAGAGAAAACACAGTAAGATAGATCTAGCCTGCCCAGACATTATATCCTATAGCCAGGCACTGATAGCTCATGCCTGTAATCCTAGCTACTCAGTGGGCTGAGATCTGAGGATCACAGTTTGAAGCCAGCACAGGTAGGAAAGTCTATGAGACTTTTATCTCCAATTAACCACCAAAAAGTGGTAGAACACTAGCCCGGAGCAAAGAAGTCCAGGGATAGCACCCAGGCCCTCAGTTCAGGTACTAAGACCAGCACATATACAAAAGAAAAGTAAATAGAAAGATTATATAGGTAAGTGGAAGCATATATAAAAAGATAATAAAGTGAAACCACCTATTTCCATGCTGCATAATTATTTTTTTATTGTGAAAATACTGTACAGAGGGGTTACAATTACATGGACAAGATAATGAGTACATTTCTTATCAAGCATTGTAGCCTCCTCCTTTGTTTCCCCTTCCCATCCCATCCTCCCCCACCCCCCTACTCAACCCTCCCCTCCCATGTTGCATAATTATAACTATATGAAATTATAAAGACAAAAGCTATATGCCAATCTCTATGACTTATATAGCTTATTCTTTATAATAAAATTTATGAGTTACATACTCTTTCTCACTTTAAGAATGAGAAAATGGGCTGGGAAGGTGGCTCAGTGGTAGAGCGCTTGCCTTGCATGCCTGAAGCCCTGGGTTCGATTCCCCAGCACCACATAAGCAAAAAGAAAAAAGTGGCACTATGGCTCAAGTGGTAGAGCGCTAGCCTTGAGCTGAAGAGCTGAGGGACAGTGCCCAGGCCCAGAGTTCAGGCCCCACAACCAGACCCAAAAAAAAAAAAAAGAATGAGAAAATGAGCCAGGTGCTGGTGGCTCATGCCTGTAAATCCTAGCTACCTGGGAGGCTGAGATCTGAGGATCACAGTTTGAAGCCAGCCCAGGCAGAAAAGTTTCTGTGAGGCTCTTATCTTCAATTAACCACTAAAAATCGGAAATAGTGCTGTGGATCAAGTGGCAGAGTGCTAGCCTTGAGCACAAAGAGGCCTAGGGACAGCACCTAGGCCTTGAGTTCAAGCCCACAAACCAATCCCCACCCACCCCCAAAAAAGAATGAGAAATTACTGCCCAGTAAGTCACTGCTCTTATACATACTACACAAAAGAGTCAGGATTCAACCACAGCCAGTGTGACTGATGTGCATGGAAATTACATTTAAGGAGGCAGTAACAAATGTAATTTTGGGGGTAAAGTTTTCAAGAAAGAATTAGAAAGTAAATCATTCCATACAAGTCTCAATGAAGTGCTATACCATTAGTCTATTTCTCAGTTCCACCACTTTAAAACTCAGAAATATTATAGCTATATAGACAGGCTACCACTCACTTTCATTTTATTAAAAAAAAAAAAAACTTCACAGTTGTGACAACATGAAAAAAAAACCCACCTGGAACTCAATTCTGGTTTTACCCCAAATTTCTTTTGCATGCATAACTGCAGCACACAGCCAAAAGAGCTGTTAAATAAATCTTGAATGTCTGTGAAACCTCTGTTGGGAGGCATAGCTCCTTCCACCGCCATCTTGGAACTGGTTCTCACAAGGCTCACATCCTCAAACCTTCTTTTGTCCTGCATGGCCAAAGCAGAGAGCTTCTGCTTGTCCCCACCCACTCCACAGTAAACAGAACATCTTTTTGTACCTTTGGATAGACATGAAAGAGCTTCTAAAGTCCAGGCTGCCTGTGAGATAAAGGTAAACCGTTGTCATGGCAGAAAGCAGAGAAGCAGAAGCCAAGCCTTCATATTTTAGTGGGCAGGGATCCCTGAAGTACAACTACTTAGATTTTAGGAACAGTTTGGGCATTAAAATACACCACCATAAAACATTTCCCAGGCAGGCTGGGGCTTTCTGTAGACATGGCTGGCACCTGCCTCTTCTACTGGAACAGAATGTTCCTGGAGATAAGGACAAGAAGCAAAGGTACCCAAAACTAAATGTAGGGGAAATAAAAATCTGACTAAATGCTCAAAAAGATTGACTCAAAGACTGTCACCATATCAAGTGAACTTCCAGTAGTTTCAGAAAGAACAGCAGAGGTGGTTGGGGGAAACCACTATCCCAGTAATGTGGACCCTGGAAGGAAAAGAGGTTGGGATCTCAGCCATGCCATCTGGGAAACAACTGGTCCAAAATGGCCAGTTCTTTTCTCCCATTTGGAAATGCTGGTCCTTCTCCACAAGCAACTTATTTTTCTAAGAGAAACATGTTTACTGGCACAAAGTGCCAGGACACTGTCGCCTTCACACAGACAGAAAGGTCTCAACATACCAATACAGTTATTGGCACATGTGTTCCAGGCAGACTAAGACAGTAGCTGCTGGGACTCCTTCTTGTCCCCCAGGCTCAGGGTGAGCTAGTTAACCCAGATCCTTCAGAAAAGTTCCAAACTTCAGAGAGGAAGTCAAGTCACTGTGTTTTCAGTGAGCTGTGCTAGACATAGACTACTCCACCTAGTAGTCCATTGCAGACAATAAATAACTAAATAAGCTACCCAAGGCACTCTGAAGGCCCCATACAGTGCTGCCAGGAAACTGGAAGTTATTACAGAGTAAGTCAAATAGTGTTTTTTACTCTGTCTATCACACATAAGTCACTAACAATCAGATGACCATACAATGCTGCTCTGGATCTTGTGTCTTTCATGTTATATCTCTGCCATCACAAACAAGCATCTTCAAAATTATTTCAGGGTCACTTACCAATTTGAAAGCCTGCATTCTCTGACCTAGAGTTTGTGGAGACAAATGTCTATGACTCTTTCCTGTCCTAATTAAGGCAAATGACCACATGACCAGCAGTCACTAAGTTTCAGCCATGTCCAAGAAGTTTAGAAAAAAAGTTTGTTCTCTTCTCTTTCTTTTCTGACACTTTCCTGATCATACAGAGAGAAACAGGACAAAGAGCAATTTGTTTTGAAACAGGTCCTTCCGTTGCTCTTACAGGGAAGCAGAGAAGTTCTATTTGTATGTACATAAAACCAAGTGTCTCTTCTCAAATGGGATCCACTCTGGAATGGGGTCAGCACAGTCCCCTGCGGCACTCTGACATTGCACCAGGCCGGCAAACTGACCCTGATCCCAATGCTGCCAGATCTTCTCCAACTCACACCTTAGCAATGAACTTGGTCTCTTTTCTCTAGTCTGACAATTTTCTTAAATTAAGGAAACATTTTAAACATGTCATGTATAAATAAGAATAGTCCCCCAAATGAAATTCAGTGTTGGTAAGAAATGAATAGGATATTTTATTTTAGAATATTTTTAGACAACTTTGGGGGGGGAGGATTGGGTGGGGGCAGGGGAGGCTGGGAAGGGATAACAAAGGAGGTGGCTGCAATACTTGATAAGAAATGTACTCATTATCTTGCCCGTGTAATTGTAACCCCTCTGTACAGAACGTTCACAATAAAAAAGAAAAAGAAAAAAAAATAAATAGGGATACAGGTGGACCCATTGCAACAAAAAAAGAATATTTTTAGAATATTTTATTTATGTGTAAGAGAGTAGTTTAGAAATGAACAGTAACATGAAAAATAACCTTGGTTGTCCAGAAAAAGCTAGAGATCAAAGATTAAAATGATGGATTTAAACTGGTGTTGGTATTGGAGTTTTCTATCACCACCCCTACTCTATATGGGGACACATGTCTGAAACATGGCTGGACAGGTGAGCATTCTGTGCTATCACTCACCTGTGCCACTGGCCAGGCCACTGTGGCTTGGGTTCTTGGTGGGTTGGCGGTGCCGGTTCCTGGTACCAGGGCTTTGCTCGCTGGTTGCTGTGGTTGTTCTGGCTGAACCACCTGAATGTCTGTGTGTCCTGGGAATTCAGAGTATAAAGCAGACAGATATAAGTCACTGTGAAAAAGAAAGATGCATATCCCACTTGGACACTGTATTCCCTCTCTTGCTATTTATTAGAAATAAGATCTGTAATAGCCCCTCTTAGGTTTTGACTCAACAGAGGTTGGCTCCAAGAGATACTCAGGAAAGCTTCCTTCTTGGTAAAAGCCCAACAGGCAGCTTTGTGCAAACTTTTCCACTTGAAGTAAACAAATCCAGAGTGAATTCCCCCACATCTGAAGTAACTGTGAAATATCCTGAGCCCATCACACTGTTTTTATTGGGCTTCAATGTTAGAAATAAACAAGACTCACTAGACAGACTACAGATGAAGTATTTTCCCCATTAGGCAAAAAAAAAGCTCACACTCATCCAAATCCATTTTTTCTCCTATAGCTGGCAAGATGAATCTCTTGGAAACAGAAGTTAAAGGGCATTAAAAAAAAAAACTGAGCTGGGCACTGGTGGTTCACGCCTATAATCCTAGTTACTCAGGAGGCTGAGATCTGAGGATCACAGTTCAAAGCCAGCCCAGGCAGGAAGTCCATGAGACTTATCGCCAATTAACCACCAGAAAGCTGGAAGTGGCGCTGTAGCTCAAGTGGTAGAGTGCTCGCCTTGAGCTAAAGAGCTCAGGGACATCACCCAGGTCCTGAGTTCAAGCCCCATGACAAAAAAAAATCCTTAGTCGATGCATATAATAATATGTTCGACCTAGGAAAGGACTCAACAGCTTACTCAAATGCAGGAATGAGACCCAATGCAGAAAGTGATCTATTATGCCACAAAGGAGACAGTGGGATTGAGCTGAAGAAAACCAACTTGACATATTCACAGAACATAGGCAATGCGTGTGTGTTTATATATGTATATATGTATATGTGTATATATGTATATGTGTATATATGTATATGTGTATATATATATATATATGAATTGGAGCTGTGATATTACTTATATCATCAGTGAAGACTCTCCAAACAACAAACTGGAAGCCCAGAGAACAACTTACAATATGTGACACAGAGCAATGTGATAGCACTATTATCAACAATCAAAGTAATAATAATGACCATGATGACCAGGGAGGAATATGATGTTTATTCATCTGAAATGTGTTCCAGTGTACATATGTGTGTATATGCTCATTTAATGTGGCCATCTAAAAGGAACATACTGTTGTTACCTGCATTCTACAGAAAAAAAAACTAATACAAAGAAGTTACATAGAAAGTGTACACAGAACATAGATTTGCATCTAGGCAATATAACTTTGATAGTTCCTTCTCACTGGCTGGAACATGGGTAGGAAGCCTTTTTAATTCTTTCTTCTTGGGCTATTCTTCCACCAGTTAGCTGGCCAATGCCAAGACCAAGACTTAGCACAGAAAGTTCCCTGCTAGGAGAATCTAAACCCACCAGAGCATCCTTCTGACGAGTCTTTGGTCCATAAGAGAACAAGCCTGCAGCACAATAAACGAAAGGATCCAGGGGGAACTACCCTTGCTGACTATCTTCTCAGTAACAGATTTTTCTGACTAGATAACACAAACCAAAATATGAACATCAATTATCTTTGGATGCCAGGAATATGGACATCTTTAAATTAACATGTAATAAGAGAAGCAGATTATATTATGATAATTCCATAGATGTGTACAGTGTTCTTTGAACAAGTGAGTCCTTCCATTATACACCCATCTTCCCTGCTTTCCAAAGTCTTCAATGAGTTCTATTATGCTGTCTTCATGTATGTGTGTGCATGTGAGCAAATATGTGTGTGTATAAAAATATACTTCAGTCTTCTTCACCTTTCAGTATCTTTTTCTTTCTCCCATTTATATTCCCACCATTATTTATTATTATTATTATCATCATCATCATCATCATCATCATTATCATTTTGGGTCTAGATTCCACAGGTGAGTGAAAACAACTGCTAGCTAGCTTTTCTGTCTTAGCTTTTCTTATTCAACATGATGATATCCAGCTCCATCTCCTTTCCTGCAAATGTCATAATTACATCTTTGTTTATGGCTGAGTTATATTCCATAGTATATATGTACCCTATTTTCTTTATCAACTCATCATGTGTTGAGCATTTTTGCTGGTTCCATAGTTTGATTATTGTGGAGACAGCTGCAGTAAACATGGGTACACAGGTATCTCTCTCATATACTGATTTATACATACACCTACCTACAAGTAGTATGGCAGGGTCATAAGATAGATCTGCTTTTAGTTTTAGGGGGAACCTCCAGAGTTTACATTCCTACCAGCAATATATGAGGGTTCCATTAGCCCCACATCCTCAATAGTGTTTGTTGTTTGTATTCTTGATGATTGCCATTCTGGCTGAGGTGACGTAGAATCTTAGTGTAGTTTTGATTTGCATTTCCATTTTGTTTTTGCTTTTTGTACTCATCTAGATTTTCCTAGTTTCATTTACTGGGTCTGTACTCTTTTGAGTAAGGAAAAGACCCACAATTTTTCAAAGGGAAAAAGAAAAGTTTTCTTCAGAGAGGGAGAGAGAGACTTAGCAGACTCCTGAGTCTGTCATACCTAAAGAAGGTGTGGTCATTAAAAATGGAGAGTATACTGATCTGTGGAAATAAAGATTCACTTTAGACTCTCTTTTCCATCTTATTTTTTCCCCCGAGCTAATTTCATAAATCAAAAGCTGTCAACCATACCTCAAAGAAAAATATTTCAAAGTCTCCACTTCATGGGAAGAAACGTTGGTATTAAGCATTTTACCACAACTCCTCATTGAAAGCAGAATGAGCACAAACTAGTTCCAAAAGGAAAGGCAGTGTTCAGCAACTGGCCAACATGTGTTTGTGTGTGCATATGTGTTGAGAGAGATCTTGAGAGAGGTAAAATTGGTTAATAGGAGGTTCATTTCAGCCAAGAATTCCCTTACAAGGACAAAAAAGGCCTCTCTGATTTGCAGCTCTCACCCCAGGAGAGGCCTCTATCCCGTCCAGAGCAGCAAGCTATGTGGGCAGCACCAGAAAGGAACATCAATCCTGTGCGAGGACGGGTCCTCCCAAGGCCTGGTTACTGCCAGTGGCCATGGCTTGTGTCCTTCTGCAGAGCATCTAGGCACAAGGACAGGGTGGGTCCCATTACGCTATTGGCTCCTCCTTCCCATCTGCAAAAGGGCATGTGGTCAGAGTTGAGAGAGAATACTTTCAGAAATGTTTAACCGCTAATGATAGCAGCTCACCCTGAATGACAGGCTGGAGCAGGGCCGGGATTAGCCTATAAACCAGGGGCAGCTGGGACCACTTTGCATGAATTGCTACCTCCCTGCCTATGGCCAAGTGCCACCCACCTCTGCCCATGGCCTCCCTCCCCCAAGTCATATCCACAGGCTTTGCCCAGTTCTTCCCTGCCCCAAATCTGGAGTTTCCAAGTTTTCACTCTTGTATTACCTTAAAAAAAAAAAAAAAAAGACATTCAGAGGGAAGAGAAAAGTCTCAAGAGTTGAGGAAAATCAGCAGTTTCTGCTCCTGGAGCACTCATTCATCACTTATAAGATGTGATTGTGTCATAACTCTGAACTGGCCCACAGAATGAAACCACATACCACAGGCCAAAATAACACTAGAACAGACTTGGGGTGATGGGGAGGAGATGAGCTGGCCTCTGCCACAGACACCTTGGCTTCGGCTCTGCCAGTGACTTCAACCTTGGCTTGATCCCACTCAACATTTAGGGGGCAGGGAAGAGTTATGTAGCCCCAGGACAGGAAGAAAGTAAAGGGACAAACTTCAGTCTGGCCAAATTCCACGGGTAGTATCAAGTCACCCAAAGTACAGAAATTCGGCTCACTCTATACCAGAAAGCTCGTGTGTCTTTATCTAAGTTCCTTCTCTCTAGAACTGAAGGCAGAAAGGGATGCCAATCAAAGCCAAAGTGTATGTGAGAACTCAGGAGAGAAGAGTTCTTCATTATCACAGCCCTGTTCTCTGTCATATTCTGACAACTAGAACTTGGGATGTTTTGGGACATCCTGCCTCACCCTTCATGAAGGCCACTAGTGTACTCAACCATTATTTTCTGAGTGCTTGGTCTTCTTTGAGGATTGGCAACAAAACAGAGTCTCTGACCTTGACAAGCTCACACCTTGGTGGAAATGCAGGGATGTATAATTTGGCTTTAATACTGATGTGTGGGAACCATGATAACCAGTGAGTGAGCCTTGCTGACTACTTGGCATTGCCCTGACAGGGTAGCCTGGGGAGGGTAGCCTGGCTCCCCATATTCACATATGATACAGAGTAATTCAATAAAGTCAAATTGCATCTCTTTGGTTTAATAAAGGAAAACACATTTTACAACACTCTGGATGGACTTAATACTACTGTTCACTTTTAAATGGTTACAATGATAAAGTTCCATTATGCAGCCTTCTATTATTTTTTTTTGAGCCTCAAACTCTCCATCCTCCGCTGTAGCCTCCCAACTTGTGGAAGGCTAAGCCAGGAGGTTTAGTCACTAAGTCTCTCAAGTGCTGGGAAACTGAGCCATTAAGGCCAAGGAGGTCATGAACTCAGGACCTCATATTTGCTAGACTGGTACTCTTGTCATTCTAGCCATACCTCCAGCTTTGTTTTTTTGCTGGTTATTTTGGATGTAGAGTCTTGAGAACTTTCCTGCCCAGCTGACCCTAAACTATGACCCTCCAGACCTGTTTCCTAAGTAGTAGGATTATGGGCTGAGCCACTGGTACCTATCACCTTATACGTTTTACATCTATTAAGAAGGGGGAAAAAATAACACCAGATGCCAGTAGCTTACATTTGTAATTCTAGCTACTCAGAAGGCTGAGATTTGAGGATCACAGTTTGAAGCCAACCCAGGCAAGAAAAGCTGTGAGACCCTCATCTCTGGTTAACTACCAAAAATCCATTAGTGGAGCTGTGGCTCAAGTGGCAGTGTACTATCCTTTAGCCAAAATAAAAGCTCAGA